ATCGTCCATATTAATGAACAATGCACAATAATATATATCTTTTATACGTATTTGGCTCGTCCTGTACTTTAAAAAAATGTTTTGAAGAGTATTTGTGGGGCATTGTTGTTCTTAAATGTACTTTTATTTTACGGGAACTCTCTGAACAGCCTTTCTGATTTGATTTGTGATATCAATAAGTTTTTAAGCACAGAGAATGACCTTAGTACATTTGAAGAAAGGTTAGTACATGTTGGAGGGTTAGAAAAGCTATTGCACTCTGTTTTCATTTTTTTTAGGATATCGGCTTACAAATGGTTGTCCAACAAACCTGCCTTTACTGCACATAAGTAGGCTGTAAATAGCCCTCCAACTTAGAACGGTTTCAAAAATGCTATTGATTTGTATAGAATGGTGATCTCGGTGGGTGCTCCAGTTTGATATATGTCATAGGGTGATCTTTAACCTTGATGAACCCTGCCAAAGAATCAACCAGCAGATGGGTTGGTGCAAGATTATTTGGCAGAGTTCACCAAGGTTAAGGATCACCCTATGACATATATCAAATTGGGGCAGCCCCCCCTTAGATCACCATTTTGGGGGGATCTATGGCCCATCAGCTGCAGTCTGACAGAAGCACTTTCCCCTGGATCCCTTTAATGGGGTACCCTGATTCCTTGGAGAGGATATCATATGTAATTGGCTTCCTGGTGTCTGGGTCTGGAGGGGGGTGGTGCCTATGGCAGCCCTCCAGCAGCTTGCATACATGGAAGTAATAACAGGGGTTGGGAAACTGGAGCAATTTCCAAAAGAATGTGGTTGCGGCTACATGCAAGGGCATGGTCTTGGCAGCTAACCCCCATTCTTTATGGGACATCTTCCTCCCATTCATGAGAGAGATGCGAGCCCACCCCAAAATGTGATCTAAAGGCTTCACAAAAATTCCATGTCCTAGAGTATGCTCGGAATGTGGAAGGAATAACAGGATTGTAATACTCTCTGCATCACAGTGCGCCTCCAAGTGCTCACAGGATCTCAGGAAAGGGCTCTGGCTGAGTCCTGGGTGCCAGAGCTTGAAAGTGATCATTCTGAAATCAAGGCAGAGCTTATGCTCTGCTGTCATTGGAACAAAACTGGCTGAAAAGAATATGCTAGCCTGCAAATACTGGAGCGTCAACTGAAACCGAGGCCTGAGTGTGGCTGGCTTTTATAGCTAGGGAGTGGTCCAGAGGGAAGAAGTTCTCCTTCTGGTCCTAGCATGGCTGGTGGAGAAGGCTGCACCAAAGTTGGAAGGTCACCTACTTGCCATAGGCTGTGTCAGCCCACAACTGGCAGTAAACACCCACTATTTCTTTAAAGCCACTATGATCTAATATTTATATTAATCCTGGATAAGGGAGGGATGATTATGAGCTACGTATTTGCAAATATGCTTCCTCTAGGAAAAAAAAAACACCTCCTGAAATTAATTATGGCGGGAGAAACATTATTTTTAGAAGTGACAAATCATTAGTGTACTTAATTATATACTTGATGATTGCGAATTTTAGTCCAGAAATTGGATTTAAGTTCATACATCTGTTAATGGGCATTTAAGCAACATGCAGTTCATGTTGGGTTTTGACAGGGTCCTAAAGTCTTCCTGTCTCCTTCCCAAAGCCTAATTGGTGCTTTCCCAGCTTTGGGAGAGCTTTAGGACCCTGCCAGAGCCTCCTGCCCAGTGCCTCCCTTAGCTGACTTTGGGAAGGCAGCGCAAAGACTGAGGGGGCATCAAATTTTGGCCTTGTTCACCCTACATGTGATGAGGCAGTGTGCAGCCTGTGGGTTCCATGTTGAAATACTCTTGCGGCCCACTCAATATGAAAAAGTTGGACCTCCCTGGGTTAGATGATTGAGTAATATCCCAGCAAGACCCAGTATCCCACTCCTGACTGACTCATACACTATGGCAGCCATACTTCATCCAACTTGGGCATCTTGAGGGGCTTCCCCCTCCTTTTACCTTCCACTCAGAGCTTGAGAAAAGTGTCAAGGGGCAGCAGTCCTGAGTTCTGGTAGCACTAAAGTCTCTACCTTGTAAGATTTCCATCCTGAGGCTAGATGAAGCCAGATTGTATTAAGGTGAGGGAAAAGATCCCTATGTACCATCCTAACAACCAAGAAACAGCATTTTTATGTATTTTATTGAATGGTCTCATCTCAATAAGGAAAGAGACATATGGGGTTGCTGATCAGTGTCTTAGCACCACGGACAGCGATTAGACAACAGCAGGGGTTGTCTATGGTATTATTAATTACATTAATTAAATTTATATACTGGCCTTCATCCAAGGATCACAGGGTAGTTTACAATATTAAACCACACAAATACATAACATAGTAACAAACAAAAACGAATACCCCCACCAGTTTTAAAGGCCAGATATTGTTCAATTAGCCAAAGGCCTAGGAGAAGAGGGATGTTTTGCCTGGTGCCTAAAGATACATAATGAACATAATGATGAATGCTCCAGGTGAGCCTCCCTGGGGAGAGCATTCCACAAGCTGGGAGCCACCACAAAAAGGCCCACTCTCATGTTGCCACCTTCCATACCTCTTGTGGAGGAGGCACACAAAGAAGGGCCTCAGATGATGATTGCAGGGTCTGGGTTGGTTCATATGGGGTAGGGATATCATCACCTGTTGGATGGCTTACCACCTGTTGTGGAGCTTACTACAATACAGGAGCTTCCCTGGGAAAAGGAGGTGGCCATAAGGTGCAACTCCATGCATCCTGGTGTATATTTCATGGTGTGTCTCATGTTGTGTTGGCAGGTGGGAGCTTCTACCATAAATATATAGACCCCCAATGGTTGTATTTTCAGTACTGGTTTGGACCCTCAAATATTTTTATAACTTGGCACAAGTAAGCCATAATGCAGCAGGTGGCCTAGTTTTGTCAATGTTGTGCAATTGCTTTCCATATTACCATGATATCTGAGAACAAAATAGAACCTTTTATCAATGTTCTGTAGTACATTTTAATCAGCTTCTAGAACAGTGTTTAGCTTTCTTAATTTTGTTTAACAAGGCTCTTCATGTCAGAGTGCTTACGCTTTTATTTCTAAAAGCATGGTACAGACTTTTTAAATTGGGATGGCAGATATGTGAAACGCTAATCACAGTTAACGAGAATTGCAGAGCATGTAAATAAAAGTGTTTTCCATTTAGACATCTTGATTGCAGATTCCATAAGCCTATTTTGCAGCCTTAAGAATATCTGCGGCAAATGTTTATTTATTTATTTAAGCATCCCATTCATCAGTCCCCAAGAACAATCAATTTCCCCTCAAAATAAAAACAGATTAAACATCACAATTCCAGTGAAGCAGGAATCAATAAAGCTGCAAATAAAAGAACTCTAAAAACAAAACAATCATCCTGAAACAGAGAACTAGAGAGTAAAGCATTACAATAATCAATTAATAAAGAAAGAAAGCCAAAGGGATAAATTCCATAGAACTAAACCACTGTGTTAAAACCACAGTATAATGAACATCATCTTAAAGAGAGAGAGAGAGAGAGAGAGAGAGAGAGAGAACATATTTTAAAGAAGTCAGGGAAAACAAAATGGGGTTTGCCTGATGCTGAAAATACATTTAAGTAGGTGCCAGACTGGACTGTCAGGGGGGAAAGCTAATCACTCTATGACCAAGAGGGCAGTGTTTGTGTCTGTTTAAGTAATCAGAGGCTTGGAAGGTGCGTGCAAAAGATTTCAAGGACAGTTTGGTGCCCATAGGCACCACGCTGGCAACCCCACGATTCCCTGCAACTTCCTAGAGACTGAACTAGGTGGCCTGCAAGATTCCTTACTCTCCAGTGCTGCTTCCCAGCGTTAGCTCCACTGAAGCTAATAAGCCTTTCTTCTGAGCAGACATTAGGATTGCACTGATTATGGAGAACAAGGCTCTCAACTGCTACTAGTCACAATGGTTATATGTTCTTCCTCCACTGCCAGGGACACTAGGCTTCTGAATGCCAGTCTGCTGGGAACTGCGAGTGGGCAGAGTGCTCTTGGGCTCACATCCTGCCTGCTAGGGTTGATCTACTATGAAACAAAGATTAAACTCCAGGGCCCCTAATCCTGGAGGGGCCCCAGAAGTAAATTTAGTCCATGATGGGTCTAGTTGACCCAATTTGAGTCGCATGACCCACGTGGATTTTTGTTGTTGCCTAAGGTCGGCAGTTCGAATCCCCACAACAGGGTGAGCTCCCGTTGCTCAGTCCCCGCTCCTGCCAACCTAGCAGTTCGAAAGCACACCAGTGCAAGTAGATAAATAGGTACCCCTCCAGCGGGAAGGTAAACGGCGTTTCCGTGCACTGCTCTGGTTCGCCAGAAGCGGCTTAGTCATGCTGGCCACATGACCCGGAAGCTGTACGCCGGCTTCCTCAGCCAGTAAAGCGAGATGAGCGCCGCAACCCCAGAGTTGGTCACAATTGGACCTAATGGTCAGGGGTCCTTTACTTAAAGCCTGAGAGTCAGCAGCAGAGAAGTTGCAAAGTGTGGTGATCTATCATGGAACAACCCCATTGAAGAAAGGCTTACCCAGACCTCCTTGCTGGTTGCAAATGGGGGGGGGCATAACAGTTCAACCCACCCCCCAATGTAGGTCTGCTACTGTGCCCTGCTTCCCACACAAGGGTGCCAACTTGAATAAAATATTGGAGGGGGAGGCACACCCTGTCCCACATAATCACGTGACACAACACCCCCCTCCCCATTTGAATGCCCATCAACTCAAATATTGGAGAGGGGAGCAAAGGGACCTCGGCCCCTAGGAGTTGGCTCTTATGTTCCCACAGGAGCAGGCGAACAGGACGCCGGCCTAGACGGCTCCAGGCGCTTCCATCATCTCCAGGTGAGGAGGCTGCGGCGAGCGCGCGGCGTTTCCTCGCAGCACCTGGCGGAGGAGGAGCAGCAGCAGCGACCATTCGGCGCCTGCCGCCTCCGCAGCCGGCAGCCCCTTGCGCGCCGCCGCCGGGAGACCCGGCGGCCACACGGCGCGGGAGACTCCGGGGCCCGCGTCGTCAGCCCTGCTCCGCCGCCTCCGTGTCCTCGCGAGGGAGACGGCGGGCGCGCGGGCGCGGGCACACACACTCTCTCTCGCTGCCCGGAGGAAAAGCGCCTCATAAGGAGCCGAGGCAGCGGGGAGAGGGGAGGAGAGCTAACCGCGGCTGGCGGCCAACAGGTAAGGAAGGCAGTGGCGGCTGCGTTTTGGCGCGCCGGGCTGAGCGAGGAGAGCGTCGTGCTGGAGGCGCCCGCTTGGCTCTTCCCCAGCCCGGCTGCCCCCCAGCCAGGGGGAGGCTGCGGCGGGGCGTCCTGCTCCCTGGACGAGGGCAGCCTGTGGCGCTGCCCCTCATTGGAGGCTTCCTGCGTCGAGGCGAGCAAGTGCCTGCTAAGTAGGACTTGGGGTGCAGATACGTGTATGTATGTATGTGTTTGTTTGTGTGAGAGAGAGGGTCCGGGTGCGCGCGCTATGGGCGCGCGAGACTCTGCTGCTGCTGCAAAGCCGGAGCTTGGATGCTTGCTGTGTTTCTGCCTAGTTAGTATTATCTCCTGTCTTCGCCACCCGCACCCCAAAATCATAACCCGTGCTATCCTGTAATTGAGATGCATGCAATATCCTCGGTCTGCATTGCACCTGCAGCAAGTTAGCAAAATCCCTGCCTGGGTGGCTGGATCGATTGCAGCGTCGGGAGGCTTGGGGACAGCCTTTATTTATCTCTCTGTGTGTATGCGTGGCTGTTTGTTCGGCTTTTGTTTTTCCCCTTCTTCAGTGTATGCATGTAAACATGCCAAGGGAACCTTAGGAAGAAAGTTGTGGCCAGCAGCCTTGATGCTCTTCCATTCATATCTTCCTAACTTCTGCCTTTTTTTCCCCAGCTCAGTGAGTCTACTCTAAATTTATCTGTGACGTTGGGGTGATGTCATACGTGTCATGTTGGTTTATACTGGGTTTATATATGCTGCCTTGGTGATACAAGCAATTTTTTTAATATAAAAAACGTGCTTTTGTCTGCAGACAGAAAGTTCTGCAGTGGCTGGTCACTAGAAACTTTACATTTAAGGTGGCAGATTCTCCTCCTCCAAATGACTTAGGGAAATGTGATGCTTGCTCAAAGTTATATGGCTGCTGTATACAGTCCTATCAATTTATGGACAATTTGTGTTTTGTGCTAGTAAAAAATAAAAAATGAAGGGTCCTTATTTAAATTGTTGGTTTCTGAAAGGTGATGCACCTGCTAGGCTTTCTTTGCACTGTTAAAATTCTGCAATGTTGAATTCTGTTTTGGTTTTTAAGTGTTCTTGCAACACTAAGAAAACAAACAATGGGTTTGAATTCAGACTAATGCTTTAATCTTGACCCCATTTATCTGAGGGTAAGCCCCATTGAATTCATTTGGTGAGCATGCTTTAGGCTCCACTGTAAAAGGTAAAGGTAAAGGGACCCCTGACCATTAGGTCCAGTCGTGACCGACTCCGAGGTTGCGGTGCTCATCTCGCTTTATTGGCCGAGGGAGCCGGCGTACAGCTTCCGGGTCATGTGGCCAGCATGACTAAGCCGCTTCTAGAGAACCAGAGCAGCGTACGGAAACGCCGTTTACCTTCCCACCGGAGCGGTACCTATTTATCTACTTGCACTTTGACGTGCTTTCGAACTGCTAGGTTGGCAGGAGCAGGGACCGAACAACGGGAGCTCACCCCGTCACAGGGATTCGAACCGCCGACCTTCTGATCGGCAAGTCCTAGGCTCTGTGGTTTACCCCACAGCGCCACCTGTGTCCCTCCAGGCACCACTGTAAGTAGTCCTATTTGGGGCCCTGTTGACAGTGAGACCTAAGCCCAACAGAGGTAGGGTTTATAGGGCTTATTGTAGCTTTCAGTGTGATTCTATCAGTATTTGCTTTGAAGTAAGTCCTGTGGATTTCACTCAAGCTTATTTCCAAAAAAGTGTACCTACAACTGCTGACCAGGTCTGGTTTTGACTTAATATTTCAGTCATCTTTTAAGTAGAAGTTACCTATGAAAACGTGCCATTGGAATGTATTCTGAAGCCATGAAGCAGAGGACAGTGCTGTTTCTGACGGGCAGCACAGAAACAGATTTTCTGTTCGTGGGTTCTGGACTGCACTGGTTTTAAGCAACTGGTGTTTCTTCTCCTGCCTCCTGTGCACCCCTCCCACACAACTCCACAGTGGTGAAATGTGGATGCCTTGATTCCTTCCTTTCTGATGTCTCTGATTATCGCGTTTTTTTCTTTTTTTTTGGAAGGGATAGTTTAGAGGCCCTCTTCTCCATCCAACTGAAAAGATGATAAATGTTGTAAAGCAACTGATTAAAAATATCTTCCACATCAACTAGATTAAGAACATAGGAACTAGCTTATACAAACCACTGGTCCATGTCCATCTAACTCATTATAGTAGAAAATGACTTGCAGTGGCTCTCCGAGATTTTGGATACGGTCTCTAAGCTGTACCTGGAGAAGCCAGGGGCTGGACCTGGGAACTTTTGCATGCAAAGCAGATGTTCTACCACCAAGCTATGGCCCTAAAAGAATTAGGTGGGCATTTATCAGTATCTTAAATTCTTGTTTAATTACATTTTGTAAAAATGTGATTTTAGAGATAGTAAACCCACCTCACAGTGGCCTCAGTTGTGTGTTTTAAAATCAATATCTGCCCAGTGTGAGCTTGGAATCATAGAATTGTAGAAGTGGAAGGGATCCCAAGGGTCATCTAGTCCAACCCCTGCAAATAGTCATGCGCTTTGGATTTTGTGAAATGCCAACTCAGAAATTCTGGTGTGCCTAGCCCTCCCAAAATAGCATATGTAAACTGACAGCACCCCTGAGCAATATTTCTGTTCTTTAAAAATATTTCTGAGCTTCATAGCTTCATACTCCAAGCACGAGTAATTAAAATGAGGTGCTTTTAACTTTCCATAGCCAGTATGGAACATATTGTGATAACTCTGTGTGATGCTTAGTTTCTCTTTAAATTGTCTGAAGATTTTATAATTGTGTGCTGTGTGCTCCAAGTTAGTAACATACAAGTTTTTAATACAGCTGTGTTTAGCAGCTATTTATTACTGTGTCATGTTTTAATTAATGCAAATCGGCACACTGTGGTGAAAGGCATCAATATTTCCATAGTCAGTTCACATGAACCAATGCATGTGAAGATTTTTACGCTCTTAGTTCATGCATATAGTGCATTCATTCCCTGATAGAAGCGTGTACTGAAATTGCCTAGTCAGAAGCAACTAAACTGTACCATTTACCAATAATGGCTAACATTGTACAACTCTTACATCACAAACCTATGAATGTCTACACTGAAGTAAGCTGTGCTGAGTTCAATGGGGCTTACCCCCAGGAAAGTTTGCATCAGATTGTACTGAGAGCCAGTGTGGTGTAATGGTTAAGAGCGGTAGACTCGTAATCTGGTGAACTGGGTTCGCGTCTCCGCTCCTCCACATGCAGCTGCTGGGTGACCTTGGGCCAGTCACACTTCTTTGAAGTCTCTCAGCCCCACTCACCTCACAGAGTGTTTGTTGTGGGGGAGGAAGGGAAAGGAGAATGTTAGCCGCTTTGAGACTCCTTCGGGTAGTGATAAAGTGGGATATCAAATTCAAACTCTTCTTCTTCTTCTACTGTAGTCTTTAAAATGCAGCCTTCAGCAATATTTTCTGCATATGTTGTCTGAAACAATGGCAGCATCCCAGTATGGCCCCTGAACTCTCCTAAGGATATAAAAACAGCCATACTGGCTCAGACCAGTCAGTCATATAGTTCAGCATCCTGTTTCTCAAACACCCTGTTCCAGCTCTGCCCCAAAAGCAGGATACCAGGACAATAGCACTCTCCTGCTGTTCCCCAACAAGTGGTATTCAAAGGCTTACTCCCTCTGATCCTGGAGGTAGTATATACCTTACTGGTATCCAATGATACCATTATCATCCATAATGTTTTCTAATTACTTTTTAAAGCCAACTAGGTTAAGTATGAATCATAAGGCTTGACGGGACCACGAGGATCATCTAATCCAACCTCCCTGCAGTGTAGGTGTCTTTCACCCAATGTGGGGCTCTGTGGTTGATGGCCATCATCATATCTTGTGGTACTAAACTCCATAGTTGAACTATTCATTGTGTACATGGTATTTCATTTTGTCTGTCCAGCAATTACAGATTCACTGGTTGACCATGGTTTCCTGTGTTATGAGAGAGCTATAATTTTCTCTCCCTATCTCCTGGCTCCACACCCTGCATAATTCTATTGTTGTTGTTTCCTCCACCCCATTTGCTTGCCTTTTTTCTCAGCTCCAAATGTAACCATGCCCTTTGGAGAGTTCTTTGGTCCTCTAATCCAGTGTTTCCCAACCTTGGGCCTCCAGATGTTTTTGAACTACAATTCCCATCATCCCTGACCACTGGTCTTGCTAGCTAGGGATGATGGGAGTTGTAGTCCAAAAACAGCTGGAGGGCCAAGGTTGGGAAACACTGCAATCACTTGGGGTTGCCCTTTTCTGCCCTTTCCCCAGCTCTACATTCTTTTGAAACGCAATGTCCAGAAAACAATACACTGACTGTGGTCCCAGCATAGATTTGTTGGCCCTTTCCTAATTATCCCCAGTACGAAATTCACCCCCCCCCCCAGCAGTTGCACACAGGGTTGGCATTTTTATTGTACCCGTGAGATCCTATCAGATCCTATCTAGATATATGTAGAGTTTGGATTTTTATTTTTATTTTTTTTGCTCCGGTTTCTCCATTGGCTACTCGGAACAGCATTTGCTATTTTAATGCCGTTCACACAATTTGGAAATAACCTTCTGAAGCTGCTCAAAATCTCTTTCTATTTTCACCACCCTAAATAATTTGGGCTGTGTATGCATTAACATTTACTCTGCCTCCAGTGTGCTCCCACCACTAGTCTTTGAAGCTGTGTATACAGAGCCGGCCTGCCTACGAGGCAGAGTGAAGCAGCTGCCTCAGGCGGCAGAAGCACAAGAGGCAGCGCCCCGTCCGTCCCACCACTTTTGCCAGTGGCGGAACACTCTTTGGGAGCGCTGCTTTGCTGTTCATATTCTCTCCCCCCCCCCATTCTGCGTCAAAGCACTGCAGAATACTTCCCCAGGGGGTGTGCTCTGGCATGCAACCTAAATGGGGTCAGGGCTTGGGGGG